CAGCAGTTTTATAATCTTATACTCTGTAATTTAAGGAAAATCTGCATTGTTGGAGAAACCAAACATGATAGATCACACATAATAGTGGCACCAATCCAATTGAAGGGAGAGGGGAAACAATGAACCTTATTCAGATCTAGCACAGGACTCCCCCATCATCTCTGCTACCAGATCTGAGGCCAGGCACCGAGGCTCAGGGGTTGGAGGAGGAGAGGGATTGAGGTAGGATCGGTCACCTAGAGTCGGAGCGCCCCGATCCGACGAGTGCCGCGCGCGAACCTACCCGTGTGGCGTGCCCGATCGATGCCGCCACCACCACGATGTCGTCGATCTGGCCCCTATGGCGTGGATCCAGCAAGGGGGAAGAAGGGCAGCCACCCCATCGCGGATCAGGTCGACGAAGGCATGGGGAGACCGAGAGAGGGCGGCGGTCAGAGAGGGCAGGGCTGGGGTGGCGATGGTCCTAACCGAGAGAGAGGTGAGGAGTATCGTGGAAAAGTATAGAGGGAGGCGACTGCTGGTTATGCACCGTGCTGGAAGGACAAACTAGGGTTCGGCCCATAGCGGGCTTACAGTGGCCTTCGGGCTGGACCGTGACAATTTCATATAACGTCCCCTTGAGTTCGTCATGTATCACCATATTTCTTGTAGTGTGATGGATAGCACACGAGACATAGATTTATACCGGTTCAGGTACAAGATAATCTACGCCTACTGGATCCAGTGTGGAGAATAGATCACTTATCTCGTATGCTCGGTTTTACAGGGGCACTCATGTCTGTTTGCCTAGGGTTGCTATGCAATGTAATGAGAAAACTCAGTACCGATCGGGGGCTCCCTACCCCGCCTTATATAGTCGGGGGCAAGGTTATAATTCAAGTCCTAATCGATTTATATTAAAGGTTTCCTAGTGTTACAAGGAAATCTACATACAGAATCGATGATTCCTTATACGCTCGAGGTCTCCAAGCTCCACATGTCTTGTTGCTTGCCCACCAAGTCTGATGATGTACCCTATTTCGGTTGGGCTTCATATTCACCGTTTCCGGCCCACCTAGGCTGTAATGAGCTCTTACTTGAGCGGTGAGGTACCATGGGTCCACCACCGACAGGGAGGTAAGTGTCCCTGATTGATACGCAATCAAAGGCTTGCAATATCTCTGACACTCATGGCACAAAGCTATACAATCCACATACACTAGACGTACACCCATGCTTGTGAACAAGTATAAATTCTATATCTTGTGTGTGCTACCATCTTGATTTGTTACGCGTAACATGCCCCATAATCATAGTCAGTTGTAAAAACACGAATATCTTTTTAGTTGGTGGACTAAAAAGTTGCCTAGCATAAGCAATAACTCCTAGACGTTCGATTTTATCGGTCTAAAGTGAAGATCTCTGCTTGGTAGGTAGCAACCAAACAATCCCTCTTTAGCTACTACTATACCTAAAAGGCAGTATTGTCCTTTTTTAGGGGTGCCGTCGTCCGTGAGATGCAAGATGGGTTGTCTACGAACACAGGTTTAGTTTTATGGTTACTGCATAACCTGCAAAAATTAAGTTTATTTGTGAGCTCGTGGACACCCCGCCTTGCATCCCTACTTGTGATGGAAAGCTAGTTTGCAAAGTAGTAGCTAGAACAACACTATGTATCAATAGAATCCTTGATAACAAATATTTATCACTGAGTACGTTATTGGTTTGGTTGAACCCTTAGTCACTAGCTCTCGCTCCTGCCTCCGCTCTAGAGATGTCAATCCTACATTCCTACCAGTAGATGCAGGTACCCACAGGTATTGTAACTGACGCACGCCATAAGTACAGCTACGAGCATGAGACAAAAAGCCAGTTCGCTAGCTAGTTTCTAGGCTGATAAGTCTGACTGGTGCTGGTTTATTATGAGAGAAAAACACTGTTGGCTGGTGATAAGCCCTGATGAAACCAACAAGCGAATATGCTGAAAGTTATTAGGACCGGACCCGAGATCGAACCGGTGAGGCCGTCGGTTCACTGGTTCACTGATCCAACCGTTTAGGACCGGTTGAACCGTTGGTTCAATTATTTTGGACCAAACAAATTAAATCGGACCCAAATACTTTGAACCAGTATATATATATAATTAATAATTAATAATTATGGTTCAATTGTTTTTCTAGCACTCAATTCGTCAGATCCGCATATGCTCAATATAGTCTTATCTAGAAAGCACTCCATGTGTCAGTAACTCAATAGTGTTAGAAAAGGCATAATGGCTCCGTTCGCTGGTCTAAAACTTGGAACTGATTGATTGTTATGAGAGAGAAACCCTATAACGACTGATTGATAAACAGTATTACGTGAGGAGGAGGAGGAGCAGCTGGATAACCAGACCAGCGAACGCAGCCAATATGCATAGAACACAAGCTCATGTCGTGGAGCCGTGGATGCATGGATGGAGCTTGAAGATGAAGCACAGCAGCAGCTGTCGCCGGTCAGGATCTGGTCGTGGACTCCGGAGTCTGGACTTGAAGCAGAGAAGCAGGCAGATGGTGAGCAGAGAAGCAACCGTCGAGAAGCTTGGAGCAGAGAAGCAGGCGCCCAGCGAGCCCCTAGCCAGAGTGCGTAGAAGCAGCTGCATCGCCGCCCCACAAGCCGCGGCCACCCGTTGCTTGCCCCTGCCGTCCGCCGCTGCCTCAGAGGCCCAGCTACCCCGTTGCCCGTCAGCCGCGACAGCTGCCTGCGCGTGCCACCGGCCGGAGCCTCAAGCGTGCGCCGCCGCCCGACGCAGCCGCCTACGCTCGTCGCCTGCAGGAGCACAACCGCCGCCGCCAGTGCCCGGAGGGAGCAGAGCCGCCGCTGCTCGCCGTGTCTCCGTCCCGCGCCACTCGCGCGAAAAGGGAAATTTTTCTCTCCGCTTCAGCGATTCAGCCAGCAAAACAATCCTAAAGACCCATTTTGACCAATTTCTAATAACGCCCCTATATAGATAAGGTCGTGCACCGAGGGGCAATTTCAGAAAAATATCAAAAACTCATCGGTTCGAATGGAACCGTCCGGTTCACCGGTTCAACGAAAAACCGACCGGTTCAACCGGTTTATAGCGGTTCGATTGTATAGACGGTCTTTTAACTGAACCGCTATGGTATGAGATTCTATCCACAACTATGGGTGTGAATATGTCGCTTCATGCGTTAGTGCTTAAAATATAAAAGTATTTCACCTATTCTATTAACAATCTAACTCAAGAGGTGCACGTACCTACAGGTGAGATGAAAATGGGACAGGATATTTCTTGATATATATATCCATCCCGAAAGAGTTTAAATACTAAACGGATAAATCCAAACATCCAATATATGTACCATATTCGAATCCAAATACTCAAAGTTGGGATTTTTTATACGTATATGGGACTATCAATATCCAGCACTATATGTATCCGACTCTGAATGTCACAAACAACTACATGTATATCCATTTGTATTCGATCTGGTTTCATCCCTACTCGCGGATACGAGAACGGGTATGGAATTTTAATGTTAGTCAATTCATCGCGGACATTTATTTATTCCACCTGCACCTTACCTGAGTTGCTGCTATCCCTACTCTGCTCTAGTTGCCTCTGCAAGTAGACATTCCAATCCTTCCTTGAGCTGCACTACCGTCGGTTAATGGTCTGTCAAACCAAATCAGAGGACTTAGCGTCTTAGTGGGAGTTTCAGCTGCATTTATTATGTTGCCACATAAGTATTTTTATGATATGACAACGTATTTAAGAAGAGAGAAGAAGTAAGTTTCATGAAGATAGAACTCTCTTGGCTCAATTACCAACTCAAGATGAGTCATGCAATAAAATATCTATAAAAAACAAAAGAATGAAAGTATGCATTTGAGGGTGATTATTTCGTCCATGTTTTATTGCATTATGTATTATTGAAAACAATGTTACATAACTCTCTACTGAAAATGGTCTTAGAGCATCTCTACTAAATATCATATACAATCTCCTATACCTAAAAGGTAGTATTATAGGAGATGAAGGTGATGTAGTAGATCCCCTATCTCACCTCTGTATCTATTATTTTTAAGAGATCTCTTAAAAACAGTCTCCTTTCTCCTAACACCCCTCTCCCTGTCCCTAATAATAAAGAAATATATGAGATAAATTTTAGGTAACCTGCTATAGCAATGATTTATATCCTAAATTGATTTTAAAATACTCTCCCAAAATAAGTTATAAGAGATGCAATATAAAATATCTGTTGGAGTTGTTCACACAATATAAGAGATCTAGTGAAGGTGTTCATCTCGGGACGTGTTTGGTCTATGCCCGGGCAAGCAGGTCGCCGGCCGAACAGCCCCACCAGCCGCAGCCCCTGAGGCCTGACCGCCCGAGCTGCTTGGGCGCAAGGTTGAAAACGGTACGAAAATATTCCGAACCGATCGTTTTTATTTTCTATGTTATGATATCGTTTCCGAATTTCACCAAACATTAAAATTTGTCATTTTCAATTAGTTTCACAATTATTTTCAACCATTTTTTTATACTCTTTAATTGCTAAAATGTAGAAATATCCCTGAACCGACCACTTCCATTTTCTATATTGTAATACCGTTTTCATCCTTGCTTGGGCGGGTAGCTGTACTGAGAAGTAGTAACAAGGAGCATCTACAGTGAACCGAGCACATAAATGACGGGATCACACGAGCGAGCATCCAAGCATTACAATAACTTGCAAGTTACAAATCTTTACTGTCTTTGTTTCTTTTATAGATCTTTTTTTTTTCCTTCAGTACAACAATTCGTGGAAAGTGGAAACCCAATCTCCAGGGACAAATCAAGAGACTCAAACCCCGCAATCTCAGTAATGTCTTCGGTTTCTGAAATAGGATTGGGGGAAGTGCAGAACCAACCAATTATATAGGACAGAAAACAGACGAAATCATACACATCTTGCAGCACAAAAGGAGCACAGAACGAAGAGCTATTGATGATAATACTTTACAAGCAGCAGCTGTCATAACGGGCTGAAGGGCTCCGGCAGCGGCTCGAACCGGTGGTCGAACAGCGGGCTTTGGTCGGGCTTGTCATCGAATCCATGCAGCCAGCTTGTGCTCCGCACGTCCTCCCTCAACAGCATTGCTTCATAGCGCGAGCTACCGTAGATGTCCAGCTCGCTCAGGGTCTCCTTGGTCCCGATGCTCCCCCTGTCTGGCAAATCGGTTGAGCTGCCACCATTGCGTGAGAGAGCCCCGTTTGAATCCCCGGAGAGGTGTCCGTTCACGCTGCTTCCATTGTCCGTATAGTGATGGTCACCGTTTGAGATGCCATGCCTTGGGTCTGATGTCCAAGCTGGACGGACCTTGGCAGCAGCCGAGCGAATGCTCTGGGGAAACAGGGATGCACCACGAATGCCACCCAAGTTCTGCCGAATGTCCTGTCAAATGTAGCGATAGCTTAGCTTCTTCCAACACTCATGCATCATTCAGTATTTCAGTCCAATCCATCATCTATGCAATGTTTCAATTTTCAACCAAAACCAATCATCTCTAAAAGGACTAACTTAACAAACTTTTAGAGACAAACGTCACTTGAGATGAAGTCACCACTTACGGATGCAAATGCGAATATGCGATTTTACATCCAATGTGTATTTGAATACTTTAGTATAATGCCACCAAAGAACATTTCGCTACTTATTTATATATATGCATTCTTATTTTGGTTTTATATAATAAGAGGTGACCTTGGTGACACACAATAACACAAAGTCACTCTGATTTGGAAGTATTTCACTTGCAGTGCTTATTTGTCCACTTTGAAAATTGAGATGCATGGACATGCAAAATGTTTCCTAAGCCATGGGCATGCCATTTTTTTTGAATGAATGGGCATGCCAATTTTGACTAAATGCAAAAAGATTGAATCTTGAAAGGTCCAAAGTAGATAAACAGTTTCCGAAAGTAACAAACTAAGTAACTCAATCGAAAAGAACGCAACTCCAAAAAAACTAAAATGCAGGATGGTAGCTGATATGAACACAAGGAACATACCATGTGCTTGATAGCCATGTCAAGTGACCTCTTTGATATCGACCTCCCAAATCCATTATCTGTGCCCGTGGCAGGTCTCGAGGGTCTATTAGCTTGACTGTCAATAATGGACCTTTCAGCCTGTCGATTTTGGTGTCCATTTGTGAGGGTAGAGGTCTTTGATGATGCATCAGAAAATTTACTTCGACTGACAGCAGGCACAGAGACCTTCTTCACAGGAGCTGAGGCAGCTGAAGGTTCAGTATTTGGGGTTGATCTTATGCCTAAAGCCATTCCTGGCCGTGATCTGCTAGCAGATAGTGGTCTTTCAGGTAATTTTGTCCTTAGATTTGGCGGAGTTTCATTTGGAAAATCAGGGATATCAAGTGGTCGCACTGGAGCTCGGGGTCGTGGATTTGGAGAACTTGGGCGAGATGATGGAGCTGATGAAGGTGCTGAGTTCCGGCCACTACTGGCTGCAGACCAGGACACAGATGTAAAGCTGTTGATGCTAGAACTCCGTCCAACAGAAGGTGAACGACCAATAGCTGGAGCTGATGAACGAATTGCAGGCTGGCGTGTAGGTGTAGATGATCGTGAGCTGGAGCGGCTCATTGAAGGAACTGAACTTGAGGACAATGAGGTGGCATGGCTTATCCCAGGAACATTACCTGAGGAAGAGCCTGGTCTGCTTGTTGCACCTGAGGAGACGCTCGGGCGGCTTATTGTATGAGTTGCACTTGAAGATGAATTGGGAACAATACGGGATCGAGAATTTGGAGTTGATGGCCTCACATTATGTGTGGATGTGGTCTTGGCAGTAGCTGAATCAGTTGAAGAGTTTGGTGCTGTTGGACGAGTTCTCGTAGGAGTGGATGGGCGAGTTTTTGCTGGTGTAGATGGACGAGTTTTAACAGGAGTAGAGGATCTTGCAGGCACTGGACGTGCAGCTGGAACTGATTGTTTCGGTGCAACAACTGTGCTGCTTCGCCTACTAGGGGTTGTAGGTCTTGAAGTGACTGAAGAAATGCTTGTATTCAGAACTGATGTCCTGTTGTTGCCATTCATGAGAGCTGACTGGATAGATGGTCGGCTGACAGAGTTACTTCTTGCTGGTCTAGTGGGAACCGTCGAATGCCCATTCTCTGTTTGAGATACTGAAAGCTGCAAATGAAACCATTATTATAATCAGTAGAGTTTAGGTAGGTCATAAAGTTATACAACTATTGTTTGTATAGTTAGTAGATAAAGAGTGGTATTTGATTTCTATTATAAAGTTTCCGGGTTAAATAGTAAAGTTCAGCATTAAATGTGCTAAATAAATATACTATTGCTATTTCTGTACAGCCTCGAAAGTGCATTCTGTTCACGGCATATTTTACTTCAACAGTTTGTATACGTTCGAATACTAAGGTGAAGCCCCATTTACTAACTGAGAGTAAGAATAAACCAATTCGTTCCAAAAGAAATGAGTTGGCGAGCAAGATTGCAAAACATTGCAGACCACAGTGCTGCTGAGAGTTATATCGCATAAATTCTCTGTTGCCAAGCTATTCTCATTAGTAGGTTCTCTGTTGCCAAGCTATTCTCATTAGTAGGTCAGAATGATTACGGCTTTACCTCATATATAAAAGGAAAACGTCCATATTACTCCCTCCAAGTTTGGCCTATGTCCAAATAACCCCCCAAACTAACATTTGGTTCAATTTACTCCCTCCAACTATTTAAGTTGGTCCAACTACCACGTTAAAGAGATTTTTTTTTTTTTTGTTTCTCTATGTACAAATTATATTTTAGTTTCAAATTTTGTGAGGTGATAGAGGACATTGTATTTTGTATTAGAAAAATGCACTATGAATTTTTCATCATTATGTTCTATATGATATTGTACCTCCAGTGTTAATTTATTATTAAATTTCCTAAGCTATCAAAATAGTGGCAAAAAGTTAAGATATATTTTTCTAACATAACTTATGATGTGATCATATCACAAAAGTTGATATTAAGACTCAACTAATACGTGGAAAAACAAAAATAACAAACCATGTTAAGGGGTAAACTAGACCAACTGAAATAGTTGGAGGGACTAAATTGAACCAAATGTAAGTTTAGGGGGTAATCTGGACATATGCCAAACTTGAGGGGAGTAATTTGGACTTTTTCCTATATAAAAAGCATGATTCCAAGAAAAATATTGCTCAGAATAGTAACATTTGATCAGTTTGCAAGGGAAAACCTTCAAAGATTAACACATTTAACTTTTAGGCACCAAAATGTAACATACCCTAGATGCTCTAGTAGTTGAGGACGATCTAGTTGTAGTGCGCTTCGGTAATATATTTGAGGATGGTGTTTTCTCAGCAACCTCCAGTGCAGGAACACGTGGGGTCCCAGGAGGAGTTAGAAGCCTGTACAGCACGGAGTAAATTAAGTTGAGTAAGGAAAAAAAAGGTGATGTGTATAACTACAGAAAACAAAGAACCAATTAGTAAGCAAGAAACCAATTAGTAGCTCTTTGCAGCCAAAATCAATCAAAATATCATCAAATACTGTGAGGAAAACACTGCAAATGGTATATTTGACCTGTGACAACTGGCCCTTCTTTTGCAACATGCTCATGCATCAAATTGGCCTTTATCAAATGCCAACAATAGGATTCTCTAAATAAATTTCACTCTTTTCAGCCATACTTCTTCCATGCAAGTTATAATTGTGTAATCATTTGTTGCACGCCAATTACCAATCTCCAAGTTAGTTTTCCAAGGGACAAAGAGCCCACACAGGTCGATCAGATATCGTGTGTTTCAGCTTTTTCTTTGCACAGCGACACATTTCCTCCCAACAACCACCACTGCCAACAAAGTCATCTTTAGCAGAAAGATCGCCTCACATCCATCACAACAATCATTCAATCACCACCTAAAAAAACTGACATGATCTTGGACGAGACGGTGGCCACCAAGATCAGGCTTCCTCAATCATTCAAACAGCGATTCTTCGAACACCAAAGCAGTTCAATATACTCCCCAGTCCCCCTCATTAGTTAATATGGACAAGCTTCAACTCATTCAAAGCCGTGATCCGTACGAATACATCCCCCAAAGCAGGGCAGTTCAAGTCAATCCAGGGGGGGGAATACAGCTCTTGTACAGCATTAATCCCCTCTTCAGTCGACACAGTGAACTAGTGATGGGATCATAAACACGCACCCATTAAAAAAAATCTAGAACAACTAGACAGGGAAAGATTTCCTCAAAAAAAATCTAGACAGGGGGAAAGCAGAGCAGGCATGTAAGCTGACACTCACCAATCGTAGTCGTTCTTCCCGATCTCCGAACCCAACAGGTCCTCCATCTCTAGAGCAAGCTACGTTGCCCAAAAAAGGACATCCAAAAATAAGATAAGAAAAGATCCGAAATCCCACCGAAGCATTAGCCAAACCAGTGCTGCAGCAACTACCTCCGGCGGTCGGCGGCGCGGATTCGGATCTGAATCCGGATCCGGCAGGTTCCCGAAGCTTGTACCAATTCAATGCTTCCTTTCCCGGTTCCCGCAGCCAATGCCGCTGCGTTCCTCCAATGCCGCGGCCGGGGCGAGGCGACGCTCCGCTCCGCTCTTCCACGGCCGCTACAGATGCCGCCGCGCTAGAGATGCCGATGAGAGGGCTAGAAGGAGGCGGAGGGGGACGACGCTGCTGGAGCCTGGAGTGGTGGTGGTGCCGTGGTGGTGGTGGAAGGGCTCAGGCTGCGTGGGAGAGCGTGAAGCTCTGCGCCGCTGCGCTGTGAAGAGGGAAGCCTTTGTTTTGTTTAGCCGCAAAGGCCCGCGACCCCTCCCGTGTCCTACTCCTACGGGGCCACGGCCCCACTTTAGCTCGCCGGGCCCACGTGTCAAGGACAGTTTGGCGGGGAGGGCGGGGGGCGCTGCCGCGCTGCGGAGCAGGAGAAGTCGGCGCCCTTGAGCGGATAGGACACACGTATAGGAGGAGCCGGCCAGGGTAGGTTTCAGGGGGGGTGACATGTGGGCCCCGAGCCCACACATCAGCGTGGACGACCTTGTAGTGTTGCTAGGTTTATGTTAATAATGGCCGTCAGAGGGTGCACTGATGCGCCTCCAGAATAACCAGTGGATGATTTGCCGCTTGACAGCGTAGAGCTGCAGGCTGGCAGTGGCAGATCAAGGAAGGAAGGGCATCATCAAGGCCCATGCCATGCCGCGGCGCGGTCAAATCACAGATGAGGGCAACGTGCACCACCACAGCACCAGGGAGCTCAGAAGCTGGATCCTAGACGGTGCACGTGCAGTCGCATGGCCTCCCGTGGCCGTCCGATCAGGAACAGGCAGTGTATAAGCCGTTTACGCTGATTTGTTACTGATGTGTTATGAGAGAAAAATATTGTACGACTTATTAGAGCAGTGTGGTCCTGCCGTGTTTTAGATCTGGATCAGCGGCACTCAGCCGGTAGTACCACTGTACCACGCGCATTATCGGCTGTGCCATAGTTTGCGGCTGGCTGATGGCCTGACTAGTGTATCGATCTGGAAAAGGAGAAGGGGCAGCACTGTCATCGAACGTGAGGTCAGGTCCTCCGATCTTGGCCGCCACTACCGGTGGCCAGTGACGTACAACAGCTGCGACCTGCGAGCAGGGTCCGTGCTGCGCACAGCACTCCAATAATGCGTCTGGCGCATGTGGCCGGCTACCCCAGCCGCGTGGTCAGTGGTGTATATTAGGGCACGTTTGGTTCTAAATAAGTCACTTATTTATAAGTTAAAAAGTAAAAAAAATAACTTATTTTGTTAAACACCACCAACTTATAAGTCACCCCTGCTTATAAGTTTTAAAGTTGGTTCACCTCTGCTTAAAACTTATAAGTCACCCTTTTCGCGTGGGGCTCCACATCTTTAATGAATTTATAAGTCATCTACAATCAAACAAGCATGACTTATAAGTTACTGGTTTTAAGTCAGCACTGACTTATGGAAACCAAACAGGACCCTTAGGGTGTAGGTTTTCTCCTCAGCTCAGGTTCTAGTTCCGTTCTCAATAAAAATGAGGAATTAAAGCCGTTTTAAAAGAGCCATAAATTATGGCTTCTTCAACACGACTCGGGCTCTTTAAAGGAGCCATACGAAACACTCCTTTAGTATTATGTAATAATGTAGTATTTACCAATGTCTATTTGGCTGGCCTCTGCCTGACACATGGAATTTCGTCAGACAGGACTTCCCAGCTTTTACTAGTACTAAATTTTGGGTTTATGTTCGTCCCTGCTGCCGGGACAAATTTCATCAGATTGTTCCATTCGTGTCCTGGCTTATAATTTCTGTCCCGTTTGAATCCTGCTTTAAACATTCCTTTCGTAGTTTCCTGCAGCCCCAACTTCCAAGTGCCACATGTCACTATCTTGGTCAGATAAATTGTACTACTTTCTCCATTAAAAAAAAGCACAATTCTTAAACAAGTTCAAGTTTGATGAGATATATAAAAAAATACTAACATTTATAATACCAACCAAGTATCATTAGATTAATTATAAAATATATTTTTATTGATTTAATTGAACTTATAAGAAAGTTTGTCTTGTATTAATATAAAATTATTTTTTTGAGGGAGTATTACCGTGCCCTTTTTTTCCTCCCTTGGGTCAGTTGTGTGTCGACATCCCGTACTCAAAAGCATAGAAGAGTGCATTTTAGCAATCTCCAAGTTATAATTGGGCAAACATCCGTTGTGTAACACATTTGTTGCATGCCAATTACTTCCTCCGTCTACAAAAGATTGCAATTATGGTATACCTGATAGTCAATTGAGCCAAATTTACAATAAATAATATTAACATTTATGTCTCTAAATAATTTTATTATAAAAATATATTCAATAACTAATTTAATGATACTCATTTTATAACAAAAATGTTTGTACTCTTTTATATAAATTTAGTCAAAGTTTAAACGGTTTAATTTCTCGAAATTCGAGAATTACATTTTTTTTTAATGGATTTAGTACCGTACCACCTAGCTGGATGAGACGAGAGCTGTAGAGGCTGTTTGGCTGCTGGCCACGCAGCGCCACACCCTGTTATGGCGGTGCCACACTCTGTCGCGTAGGAAAACAACGCCACAACGAAGATCGTGTGGCGTGCCGCAGATTAATTACGAACCAAGCAGACGCTTGCTTTCCTGTGGCCGTCGGAGTCTAGACGAGGCAAACCAAGGCCGGCAACCAAATAGCCTCGTAGTCACCATCTTCATAGAAAGCTTCCGGTCTATGTTTTCCTCAGGTCAAATCTCCAATAACCGAGAAAGAAAAATCCCCGCATCTCGAAGGAGTAGGTCTGAGTTGCACGAGCTCAACGATGATGGACACGAGATCACGAGAGCACCCCATGGCGACCGCGTCAAGCACGCCCTGTAGCCGTAGCGCGTAGGTTGGTGCCAAACTATCTATCTGCGCCTCGGAGGCGGGAGGGCACTGGCAAACGACGGCCGCTCGCTCCCGGCCGGGCGGCCCGCGCGGCGGTTGGTGCGATGGCGACCGGCGGCGGCTGCTGCGTCGCCAGGACCGACACGACGGGCACAGTACCGGTATCCGGGCCAATCTCGCGCTTCACTGCAGCCTTGCAGTCCCACATTGCCATCTCTCGCCAGGGGCGGCACTGTGTGTGCAGGATGCATGCACTGCATTCTGCATTCTGGTCCTCTCCTCACGACCTCACGGCGGGCTCTGGTGACCACGGCTCTCGCCTCGTCCTGTTAGGTGCAGTGGTGGTCCTTCGGAAAGGGCGGAGGGCCAAAAGGGAAGTGCGCAGAAATGTGCAAAATGCTCAGCTAGTCAGCACCCACGCCACACCTGGGAAGGAAGCTCCTAGCTTGGTTCATCCGTTAAAATTCTTCTGGTTCTAGTTTTACGGCATTGCAGTTCCCTCACTTCCAGAATAGATGACGTTATTCCTAGCTTGGTTCATCCGTTAAAATTCTTCTGGTTCTAGTTTTACGGCATTGCAGTTCCCTCCCTTCCAGAATAGATGACGTTATGGAATACATGTGGTTCAAACTTTCTCAATCTTAACTAGTTTATAGAAAATACGTGCAATATTTATGTCTCCAAATAAATTTATTATGGAAGTATATTCAACGATCTATCTAATAAGACTAATTATGTATTATAAATATTAATATTCTATTATATATAATCGGTCAAAGTTAAAAAAAATTAATTTCTCGGGAAGTGAGAATGTTTTCTATTTTGGAACGGAGGGAGTAAGTTATTATCTCCTACAACTAAAAAGAACAAGGTGTGGATATTTTTTGATGCGACATTTATTTTGGTTCGTCCATCTGCCCATGCCTACGATCCCACGACATCTTAATTACTGATTGATCGTGCTATTCTCCTTGATTGAATATTGTCTGTCATGTGATAGAAGAATCATGACAAAATAGAAAGTAGAAAATTATTGTGCTATCCATATACACATTACATGTTTGCATGCACCAGCATATATGTCAACGAGCAAAATAAAAGAGAATTAACACAGAAGGAAAGATAATTAAGACAAAAGGAACATCTTTTTATTTCTAAGACCCTTGCCAAATCTGCCTACATTTAATTACTTTATCTCTTTGCATTTGCAAAAGGGATAACTTTTTCCTCCTTCAATTTCGTTTCACGCTCACGTGTTCCATCGTCCTCGCTTGCTGTTTCTTGCGTGAACCATAGTTAATGTCATTTGTCTTCCATGGCTCAGCCCCCAATCCCAAGAGAAGGTCCCTACCTCTCCCTGACTGGAGATCCGGCCTGTCAAAGGATCTCCTCGAGTCCATCGGGCAGCATCTCGCTTCAAGCCACGACGCGGCGTCCTTCTGATCCGCTTGCTCCCCATGACGCGTCACCGTCCCGTTCGCGACCTTCGGGCCGCTCCTGTTGTTCCCGTTCGACCCCGACTCGGACCGCGTCGGCTTCTACTGCGTCCTGGAGAAGAAGGTCTTGTCCAAGACGCTGCCCGACGTGCGTGGTAAGGTGGCGTGCGGCCCCTCATGTGGGTGGGTGGCGCTCATGGACGAGGCGGCGTCCGTGACGCTGATGAATCCATTCGCCGGTGCTCGTGCCCCCCGCGTTGAGCTCCCGCCAGCAGGCGAACACATCGCGGCGGCGTCCTCATCGGAACGCGTGTCTAGGGTCCACGGCCGGTGGGTCCTCCATCCCACCAACGGCTATGGGGACGCGGATGCCGCAGGCAGAGCCATCAAGCTAGAAGACATGAGGGACGCGTTCTTCCGTGAGATCGTGCTCTCGGCGTCGCCTGACGCCGCCGGCCGCGAGTGCGTGGCCATGGCCATGCTTGGGTGCTCCA